AATGCGCAAAATTTTCTCTCCCAACCTCCAATTGTTGATTCCTAATCACCGTTATTTCTGGCACAACCTAAGCCTCAACAGACACAACTTGGCTCCCAAACAAACACTTCAATTCTAACCGCACAACACTTCTCAACTCAGAATCCAAAGCCCTTTGCCGAAACGTCCCAATGCTCAAGTTTTCCACACGCACAACCTCACAACCAAGAGCTTTCGCAACCTTAACAGTAACAAACGTCCTCTGACTCCCCGAGTCCAACAACACTCTCACACGACCGCTTTTCTTGCCAACCAACATTGCTTGAGCCGTCTGCAACACAACTTTAGAACAAGACTTAGAAACTATACTATTTTTTGGACTTACAATTAACGTGGTGCTTACCTCCCTATCCCCTCCATCTGCCTCAGGTCCCTTGGGCTTACTTTTATGTACCTTACCATGATCACACAAAGCAGTATGATGCTCCCCTTTTCAAGCATTACAATTAACTTTAACATTACAATTACGTGCCAAATGGCCTTTTCTCAAACAGTTAAAACAACGAGAGTACTTCACTAAAAGTTCCTTACGTTTCTCCTTACTATTCACTCGATTGCAGTCTTCATGGCGATGCATACCAGTAGTGTCAATTCGGGGATATGAACAACTTTTTCATGTAAGACAAAATATAGTGTCTTCAGCCCCTTCAGCCCCCTCAGCCCTTTCAGCCCTTCAACCCCTTCAGCCCCTTGAGGAAATATCATCGTCAAAAAGTCATTCGCGGGAATTCCAAAAAACGTTGTCGTCGTCGTCTTCAAAAAGTCATTCGCAGGAATTTTGAAAAAAGTCGTCGTCGTCGTCAAAAAGTCATTCGCGAGAATTTTGAAAAATGTCGTCGTCTTCAAAAAGTCATTCGCAAAAAGGGAATTCCCCATTTGAAAAAAAAATCATCAACACCTTATGTAAATATAAAACAGTATAAAAAAATTCGGAACCGAGACTTGTATTACTAACCATTTTATGAAACACCTTATAGAAAACCCGACACAGAATAGGGAATACCCGGTTTCCCGATCGGTGTTGGGTTTTTTCTGGAATCACTATTCATCTTTTCATATCAACACCTTATAGAAATAAAATATATAGTAAAAAATGAATAGGACAGACCAGAAAACCCACGACGGACTTCGGATTACCGACCACAGGAATTTTTCGAAAGAGTCGTTTGGATTCGGAAATACTATTAAGTATTCTAGATTCGATGCGGAAAAGACTAGACTTTTATCCGCGAAGGGAAAGACGTTATTACTGCGTATTCCGAATTGTTTATCGTTCGGTGTAAAAAAGAGTACGAAATACAAGAAGATGGAATTTACGCTTCCCATTTCACTCGACGAAGAATTTATTTCCTTCTTCGACATGATTGGCAAAAGATGTTATACTCACGTTAAAAATTCGGATGGGAATGCAATGACCTGTCTTTCCAAAAACGGAAAGTCGCCCGTCCTCTACGTCAAACTCGACGACGAAACTGTTTTCTTCGATGAAAACGGTGAACCGATCGGTCATCGTGAATATCGGGATTTATGGTTCCGATCGGATGGGGTCGTGAGGATTGAAAGCGTTTACGCGGCGGATGATGTAACATCCGTCCAGATAAAACTTCACGAAGTTTGGATCGGATCGGATCTTCCGTTCGACGAAACTTCCGATAGCATAGTATCGGAGGAATGAAAAAACATATTCGGAACATTCGCGGTATTTCACAATAGTTTGTAAAATATTCATGAATTTTTTTTTCCTAACCTACCCGGGTTAGGAAATTTTTTTTTATAATAAATGAATGACACAGAGATCAGAGATGGTATTCGGTTACATCTTGCCGGTTGTGCAGGGGCTGGTCTTCGTCTTGTTAGGGATCGGGATGTTGATGCATTTTTGGATGTCATACAGTTAAAGAGAAAGGAATGTGAAGAGTTTATGAGACGTAGTGGTATGGATGATTCTTCACTCCACGATCTTTTTTTCTCCGAAGTACTGGAGATACTTAAATATATTCCCGGTTTTGTAGAACGTTATGAACTAGATAAAAAATTTATCATTAAATAAAAGATGAACCCTGCAACGACAGTTATTCATTCCGCCATGAAATTAGCGGCGGTTGCAACTCGTACGAATTCGACGATCGTTCCGAACGTGGCGTTGACGGAAGAAGAAGCCAACGTCTTGTACGCGACGTGTGCGATCTGTAGTTTGTCTGCATTATCCATTTTGATTTTCGTGACGACAAAATTGGTGAGGATGTGTCGGAAGAAGAAAAAAGATCCTGCGAAGCAAGAATTACCCGTCCACACACCGTCCGCGTAAAAAGATTTTAATAATTCATGGTATTATTAAAATTTATTCAGGATTATTATCACCAGTAAGACTTCGAACGTGATCGGAATCAGGAGGCAACTGATCAGACACGTCCATAACAATATTTTCCACAGGAATAGTTTTATCATTTATTCCGTCGTAATCTTTAACCGTCGTACTGACGTATCCGATCTGCGTATGAATACTGGTCGTCGCATCGCCGCGATCGAACCCGAATCCTAAACTGAACATTTTTCGTCTTTTATGATTCTTGTTGTGTTTGATAGTATTTTCGGATTTCGAAGAGAGATATCCTCCCATTTTATAAAATGGATCCATTTAATATGATCATCGTCGGAAAGACGGCGTGTGGAAAAACACATTATCTGATCGAAGAGTTGAAGACGACGTACTTTCGTAAATTTTCCAATATTTTTTTAATCTGTCCGACGTACCATTGGAACAAGACGTACGAACAAGATTTTATCCATAGAGATCCAAATATTTTCATCATTCCATGTCATCAGGATGAGGTGGAATATTATTTGGAGTACGTCGTGGATTATACGTCGGGAGAAGAATCTTTGATTATTTTGGATGATTGTGCAAGTACGAAATTCGTGAAGGGTCGTACGGGTGAATTGGTAAGTTTAGGATTCGGCGCACGTCATCGAAACATTTCGACGATCGTGATTACACAACAGTTAACGTCGATCTCCAAACCGTATCGCGAAAACATTCAGAAATTAGTGACGTTCTATAATCCCAGCAGACAGGATATGAAAATTGGACGAATATTTAGACGCGGATCCTGCAGAACTAAAATCCATCCGTGAAAAATTAAAACAAAATAAATATTCGTACTTGGAAATAGAATTAATTCATCCGTTCCGTCACGAAGTAAAAATTCCGAGAGTATAGTAAATAAAATGAATAACGAAAGAATGGAAGGAGAAATTCTCGAACAAAAGACGGAAGCAGAAGTCGTGGAAGAGATGCGAGCGAAACTGATCCGTTTATCGAACGCGGGGGAAATCAAACAGACCGAAACTCATTTGAAAAAAGCAAAACCGGCTACCATTCGTAAAATTAAACAGGAATACATCATCGATCAACGTGAAAAAGTCAACGTTCTACTCACGGAAACCCTGATCGAGAAATTTACAGGACTGATGGAAAGTATTCGTATGATCGATAGCGGGAATGATCTGAAAGAAGAATTAAATCAGGGTAAACTATTAAAAAGCGACGTGAAAAGTATCGTCGAGAAATTATCCCCGTACATTTCGTATTTAGGAATTTTAAGTGGTGGCGTCACGACGGTAAAACATGTTTATGGGAGGAAGGGAACGACGGAAGAAGAAAAGGAGGATATAAAGACGGAATAGGGAAATGTCGCGTATCTCGACATTCTGAGACTTGTCCCGTTTTGGGACAAGTCTGTATTTTCATATTTTTTTCAGGAAAAAATATGAAATTTTTACCATCCTAATACCTTACACCGCCGAATTGTCCGTTGACAATTTTAATGATACCGTCGGAAAGAACGAACGTATAACAGACGACGTTGGCCGTCGTTGCTTTTTTAGTAATTTCGACTAAGATTCCCGACTGGGTATTATGAATTTTAAGTGGCTGTCTCACTAAGAACCATGCAGAGCGTTTCAGGTTGAAAATTAGATTTCCTTTATATTTTTACCATGAACTACCTTTGTCCTAAAAGGTATTAAACTAGTACTAAAATTTCTAAATTTTTCTTTTTTTTTGAGTTATGACGAATTTTTTTCTGGACGTCAGCGACACTGAAATTTGACCCCGGAAACGGCGGTCAAATGTGTGTTAAATTGTGCATCATAACTCGGAAAGTTTCGCGTCAAATTAAAAACTTTTTTCAGCGTATTGAGACATATTCTTCTTCTTTTAGAATGTTGAAAGAATTTGAATGTTCATCTTATTTTAAGCCTACTAGTCTCCATCCAAGGATGTCGGCATTTTCGTTCGCCGAAAAACTAATGATTAGCTATAAAATTCAAACTAAAAATTCTCAAAAGTGCAACCTACCTGGTGTCTAAAACACTTTTAGGGTTAAAGTAGAATACTTAAAGTTATGTTATTCGCAATAAAACTTGTCGGCAAAAGGAATATGAAGGAGTGCAAAATTCATAAATTATGGCTATAAATAGCTATATTGTTTACCTTTGTGATAACCGAAAACACGTTCAGCGTTACTCGCGGAGCTTTTATAAATTTATATTAGCAATTATTATAAATATAAAATAGTGTTTATAAGTTCTTACATATGAATACAAACACCGCCTTGTAAATTTTTTAAGCTTTTGGAAAGCCTTTACAATTGATCGTTTTAAAGTTGATTAAAATTACTAAATAGTTGCACGCCAACATAATGTACAATATATATTATCGTTGTTTAATATGTACTGATGAGTGTGTCATAAATAGAATACACGCTATATTACGAAAGCAACAAGATACTAAACTTTATAGTTAACTTGCTACCTGGATAGTTATTTTTCGCGTGTTAATTCTTCAACAAACAATTTAATCTCGCAAATTTAATCTTTAGGGAAGCCTCACATATTGATTTTGTCCATGAGAAACGTCATATGTTCGTTTCTCTGGAGACCTCTTCCCCCCCCCTTAGAAACGTCACACATAGTTATCGATATTTTGTTCTGACAGTACACTATGAGTACACATAAGGTAATTTTCTACTATATTTTTCGGTCGGCTATTGGCGATGCTTCCGCGAGGAATATGTCATCTTCTGCTGACATACTCTTTTTTTATTAATATATATATGAACTTCAAAATTTCCAACGTTTCTCAAAACAACTTTTTTTATGAAATATTGATAATTTTAACGCGTTTTTCTTGAAATTTGAGTGTTTTCAATGCAAGGAAGGCGTAATAATATAAATGTATAGGTATAGAACAGGTATGGTATTACGAATATATAGACTGCTGTTTGTATCAAATTGTTTTCTTTTTTATATTCTGCAAAGATAAAAACTATCGAATTTTTCCATGATGTTTACAGAGAAACGTCACAGCTGCCAACCTCCCCACCCCCAAACGAACATATGACGTTTCTCGTGGAAAAAATCGATATGTGAGGCTTCCCTTAATCAAACGTTCGGGAGTAGTCGAAAACATTTCGAGGTTGGTAAATTGTGTTACTGTAGTCTGTATGCCAAGGGGATTACGTTTGTAGCCAATTTTTAAGTTTCTTTAATTTATAAAATAATAATAAAAAACCACGAAAATAATAGCAGAAAATAATTATAGCAGACGCAATGTATACAAGCTGTTTTTGTTCTTCAATGCGCCATTGCTAAAACTAATTATTGGAGTATTTTTTAAACTTAATTCTTAAATAATATCAATGACAGTGTTCCTTTGTAATTTCCACACCTGTTTTGTTTAACAGAAAATTAACGCAAAGAAGTACCGTTTTTAGATATTTCTAGAAGCTTACTAATTTAGTTTTGATTATGGAGAAAAGTTGTCCATTTGTTGTCGTTGGTGGAATTTCTTGTGGTGAAAGTCGTGGATTACAGGAAATTAGTTGCTTATTTGATTTTAAGGAAGATATGAGTGTTCAACTATAGGACTGTCATCTTTCTAAATCGAACTTGAGAGAGAACGAGTTAATTGCTATTCGCGCGGGAATGTTCAATCTTACCGAAGACCAGTTTAAGATGATATTTATTTGTCCGTCCCACCATCATAATTTGGGACGATTTTGGAGGCCGCTAAGACCGTGCCTGCAGTATTCCCTCCATTCGAGTCCTGTTCGTAAGTGTACAGGAAGAGATGTTTTCAATGTGTCATTATCAAAAACAGTTTTTACTCTTTTATGGGAAATTAAGTCAAATATAGGATCTCGTAAGTATTACGCTACTTTTACTTCTTCAAGTGTTGTAATTAGTACTTTAATGACGCAGGGGAAACTGGAGATAACTATCGTAAGTTTACGTGTTCTTCATGAAGGAGAATGCGTAAGTTTACGTGTTCTTCATTTTGAGGCGAAACGGCACAAAGAAAAATACTTGTGGAAAACTTGTGGAAAATGCTTGCTGAGATCGACGTATGCCATCCTATATACCACGACGCGTATGATTTATGTGACATGTACAAACAGAAGAGCCTATCTGTTTTTAAAATAACGATGCTGAAAGAAATTTGTGCGCACCTTGAACTTCAGTTCAAATCAAAGGATAAAATACAGACTCTCATAGATAAAATATCATCCATGATTGGGCAATGCACATGTTTCCAAATAAATAACTAAATTGTGCAGGTGCGGACAAATACTCCCAGACTAACTTGCACATGTCGAGAGATGTCATTGTTCTTGGTCCGCGAGCGTGTGGAGCCTGGAACAGTATCGTTAACCCAAATCAAGTACCAAAAACGCTGCATACAAACTACGATATTCTGTAATTTTTATTGCTATAATTTATACTACTTAGTACTATTATGAGACAAATCAAATTTTGCCGAAAAATACCAATTGAAGTTGAAAGTTATTCACAGAATGGCGATTAGCTGCAAACTACTGTAAAATTATTATTATTATATTGCTGTATAGATTAAAGTAAAGATAAAGGACAGATCTCAGTATACGTCGCAGCCGTAGTCAATGTCAATGCAACTAAGATCGTTTTATACGATGAATTGAATCGTTTGCATGAAAGGACAAAAATTCTGCCAAATGGGCGATGCGGAAAACTTTTAACAGAATATAATAACAAGTTCATGGATTTATTAATTCGATGCGATGTTACGGCAACACACATTTTCGACATTGGCATTGTACACCTCAGGGCCGTAGGAACCGGGGGGGGGGGGGCTGCAGCCCGCCCCCCCTCCAATAATTTCCTAATAATCATTCTTTTTTCAAAATCATGCAGACCTTTATCATTTAATCCATGACTGCAAAGAATGAAGATATTACCCATATTTTCCTGCAACTTATCCAATATATAGTTAATTAAATACGCATTCGGCCATTTAGTACTACTAAATTGTAAATTTCGACATACTAAAACGCTGTTTTCTGACAATCAGAATTCTGTCAAATCTTCCCCAAAGTCCAGGAAATGGTATTTCAGAGACTCTAAATTTAAAAATTTCCTCGGGCTTTCGACCCCGCTTTCAGCCCCCCCCCCCCAATCGAAAAGAGCTTCCTACGGCCCTGTACCTGTCGGGTCATAAGGGATACAACGTCCTAGACGAATTTATTTCTTCTGATCGTTTTGGACCTCAAAGATCCGTCGCATTTCATCGATCGAATTAAACTTTTCTGAGTTAAATACAATGATTGTGCAATATATTAGTCGCTATAAAAACTCCGAGAGCAACCTTGAACGTGTTTCCGGTTATCACAAAGGTAAACAATATAGCTATTTATAGCAAAAATTTATGAATTTTGCACTCCTTCATATTCCTTTTGCCGACAAGGTTTATTGCGAATAACATAACTTTAAGTATTCTACTTTAACCCTAAAAGCGTTTTAGACACCAGGTAGGTTGCACTTTTGAGAATTTTTAGTTTGAATTTTATACCTAATCATTAGTTTTTGGCGAACGAAAATTCCGACTTCCTCGGATGGAGACTAGTTGGCTTAAAATAAGATGTACATTCAAATTCTCTCAACATTCTAAAAGAAGAAGAATATGTCTCAATACGCTGAAAAAAGTTTTTAATTTGACGCGAATCTTCCCGAGTTATGATGCACAATTTAACACATATTTGACCGCCGTTTTCGGGGTCAAATTTCAGTGTCGCTGACGTCCAGACAAAAATTCGTCATAACTCAAAAAAAAAGAAAAATTTAGAAATTCTAATATTAGTTTAATACCTTTTAGGACAAAGGTAGTTCATGGTAAAAATATAAAGGAAATCTAATTTTTAACCTGAAACTCTCTGCATGGTTCTTAGTGAGACAGCCACTTAACACCGTTCCCGAAAGTCTTTTCGTCGTTCACGGTTCATAAGTCGATGACCAAGGCGAATTTTTTATCCTTGTAAAATTTAATCAGGGATTGCTGACTGTTTGCATCGGTACCAAAAAGCCGTTTGGCTTCTTCGTACATTCGTGTTTTCGTCATCTCATTTTAATACTGACACTAGGTTGTTACTCAAGTTTCATGCCCATTGGCAATCTTCAGACAACTAAAAGTTCTAAAAATGTCTATAATCAGGGCCCCATATATTCTAAAAATATCCATAACACCCTGCCCCACATATTGGGGAGGGGGTCATATACAGTATACAGTATATTGACCGCAAGTCTGTCTATACTATTAGGCAATGCCATGCATGGATATATGGACTTTTATGGGTAAATATTAATACATGTTCAGGAATCAGGCCTAACCTTCAGCGGCTGCATAGCATGCCTCTGTTGGCCTCTGGCGGTAATTCTGTCAGGTACAGCTCTCTAACCAATTGAACCACAGAGTCCATGAACTTGAACAATGAAATGAGTCTGGCTAATAATACTGTGAGCCACTCTGCATCTGGACTCAGAGATACATGAGCATGCAGTTAATGCTTGGCAACTGATCTCTGTAGCTTAGTTAAAGCACTGCACCGGATTCATGCAGGTTAATTGATTCCTGTCAAAGCAATTCAGATTCCCAACAATTTGGTAATGAATTCGGGCTGGCTTCTTCACTGTATCAAAGGGTCAATAGTTGTATTTTTTATAACATGTCTCTAAAAAGTCTAAAAGTTTATAAAATTTATGTTCCAAATTTCCATCTATTATTATTATTATTATTTAACAATATTTCTGTTGGAAGCTTCACTCATTAAATGTGGACAAAAACCTTTGTCAAGTGAGATGACCAAAATCCTTAATGTATTATTAATATGCACGAATTGCAGCTAATGCTGAGGAACTTGGTTGGCAATGCCACGGCCGTGGGTTCAATTGCTACCAGAGGACCTTGTGCTGCATTTTTCGCAGTCGTTCCTGGTCAGGTCTTAAAATGTATATATATATACTCACTTGGATTACAAACCCTAAGAACAGCATTCAAATATTAATACCACCAAGTGAAGTGCAAGAAACCAGATCATTGAAGTCCACCTTATCTCAACGCACACACCCGATCACCTATATATATATATATATATACATGAACTTACGGTTATAGCTCAACAACTGCATCCTCTGTAGGTCAGTTGGTTAGAGCGCTGCACCGGAATCGCAGGGCCGTGGGTTCAATTCCTACCAGAGGACCTTGTGCTGCATTTTTTGCAGTCGTTCCTGGTCAGGTCTTAAAATGTATATATATACTCACTTGGATTACAAACCCTAAGAACAGCATTCAAATATTAATACCACCAAGTGAAGTGCAAGAAACCAGATCATATATTGAAGTCTACCTTAGATATTTGCCTTTTTAGACTACTTCATACTTTACCTATCACCTGCATGCAGCTTAGACTCGGTAACTCATTCATTAGGTATATATGTTTATATCATAGGACTGGTCTTATATTCACAAAATGGTGTACTAATAAAAAACTAATTTAAACTAATTATAAACTGAATATATAGTGAGGTTATAGAGTATTCCTCGCCTGATTTTTTACGGCCAATGTTTAGAAATACTATGCCTTAATACCTCAATAAAATAGACCTTAATAAAATATACTTTAATAAAATATATGCAAATAACTAAAATATATATCTTTATCAAGCAGCAATAGAATCCATGTGTAGACTTCACATTTGATCAAACGTGACGGCGCTATATACTGTATTATAGCATCAGTTTTTTATGGTGATAAGTCATGCTTGTATTGTAAAAACAAATGATTGGTATCGCGCGGTATATTCATTTGTTGCTTAAAGTGGTCGCTGCCACCAAAGTCGCATACCAAATCTTTAAACGTGTAGTTATATAATTATTATTAGGCAACTGTTCTTTTGAAGCCGCCGATTTTAGTCAAATACAGGCTTCTCGTTTGCTGCGCTCACTCTTGAGATATCATGTTCAACAGTCGAAACAAATCTGGTATTTCCGAGCATCCATGAGATTATTCTCTATGTTATATAGGCATGGATAAGAATGCTATGTGGATACACATAATGGTATAAATAATGCAAAAACTGATGTTAAAATCGACATACCGTATATTGTTCCATTTGATTTCGACAAACAGGAATGTAGGGACAAATATTTGAAACACCAAACCCTCTGCCTGTTATGCGGTTTGTAGAAAACCTGGCGTACAAAACATTTTATATTTGATGTGTATTCAAGGTTGACATTGAATGATATCCTCTCATATTTTTATTAATTTAAGTTCCTTTTACAACGTTTATAGATCTTTCAAAGCTTCCAAATCATGAGGCGCACAAGGAAAATATACAAGATTCAAAGTCCAACGGTTTTCACGAAATTTGATTCTTGGCGACGCCAATACACGCAGTGATTTGATTGGCGCACTACACGGTTAAACGCTTTCAGTGATTGATTGAGATTTTAGAGATTTATTCAGGAACTGCACTATTTACAAAACAAAGAAAATGTATACAAAATTTTACAAATAATTATGTTTTGAATGAATAATTTCAAGTTAATTTGATAAAGTGAAGGTGCGTAGTGATCAAAGGAGCATAAACTGTCGAGTTGATCACTACCTACGTTCGATCATATAGATTATTTTATATGTTGAGCTTAAATAAAGAAACTCAGATACATATGTACACATATACACATACATATACACATATATAATATACATACACATATAGACTCAAGTCTCAATAACATTTTTCATTGATTTTTTAGAAGGGCAGCTTTATATCTTTTCTTAAAGATTTCAAATGAAGGCGAATTTTTTATTTTCAATTTAATAGACTCCCATATTTTTGATGCAACAAATTGAAAAGTGTGCTTTCCATAATTTGTCTTGACCTTTGGCCTTACAAAATTTAATTTTGAAGCAAATCTTGTATTATAACTGTGTTGTTGGTATGCTGGTCTCACAAACTCTAAGAAGATAGACGGAATATTTGATCTTCCATTAACTATTTTATAACTAAACTCTGCAATTTTTAGCTTAAATATGTTTTCAAATTTAAGTATTTCCATGAGGTTATAATACGGAGTAGCACTTTCCCTGCTATATGCAAAGAACATATTCCTTAGACACTTATTTTGTTTGGTACTAATTTTCGTTAAACTAGACTTGTATGTATTTCCCCAACTCATTACTCCATAATTTAAATAAGGATAAATAAGTGTGTAATATAATTGCTTTATCATTTTTAAGTCTAAATAGTGTCGAAGTTTATTTATAATTCCAATATTTTTAGCTATTTTATTATAGACATATTTTATTTGTTGTTTCCAATTGATATGTTCATCCAGAGAAACCCCAAGTACTTAATAAAACCTTTTTGTTCAATATTATCAATTTTTATGCTGTTTAGTTTCTTTCTCGTTGAAGATATTACCATATAATGAGTCTTCTGAAAATTTATAGATAATTTATTTATTGCACAATAGTTACGTATTAACTTAAATTGTTCATTCATTGTACTTTCCAAGTTCAACAAATTTTTACAGGAATAAAAGGCGTTAGTATCATGAGCAAATGTACGTGTCGTGAAATAGCGACAGACGCCAAAACACTAATGATTTTAATATAATCATATAGATATTGAATTACGCGCTTGTCTTTGGATAACACAGATCTAGAACATGTCAATGTACAAATATTAGTAATCACTCATACTCGAACGTGATTGGTTAGAATAATTTGCTTAGGGGTAAAATTACATTCGTGCTTTGGACACATTATTATTGTATTTTTATGTTTGTATATAGTCTTGAACTGGCTCGCGTTATGGGAGTTACAAATTGTAATTAAGTAAATATATCATTGAAACTATTGCGTGAATCGTCCATTATTATTCAGAACTTATTCATTGAAAGAACCTCCGCTTACGGTTCTCGATTGTCGTTGAGACGCCAATACACAACGCAAGTTAATAATACGCACAAACGAGAGACGATCAAGACATTGGTGCCGTGACCAGGATGGACGATCTTAAACGCGCAAAGATAACTCGACGCGCTCAACGAGCCCAAACAACAAAGACGTGGAATAAAGCAGAAACGTTAATGAATGACGAGATCAACGAAACCAACATTCAACGACTACAAGTTGTGCTACAGACATTCGACACGAAAATCGAACAATTGAAAAAGCTCGACGAGAATATATCGTGTAAAATCGAGACCGAGAAAGAACTGGAAAGCGAGATCGTGGAAGCAGACGACTATCTAAGTGAGCTAATGGATAAAAGGTACCGAATACAATTTTTTATAAGTGCTAAACAAGCCACTACGGCAAGTCCTAACAACACGCTGTCTGCGGCGCAAAACTATAATCAAGGAGAACAATTGGCCTCTCAAGGTCACACTTACTCGCCGCAATTGAACAATTCGAGTGCGCATAGATTACCTAAGTTAGCCCTGCCGATATTCAATGGAAATCCACTAAAATGGCAAACGTTTTGGGACTCGTACAAAGCTGCAGTTCATGATAATAAATCTCTATGTGACATACAAAGATTCAATTATTTAAAAGCGCATCTGGCGGAAGAAGCGGCTAGATCAATCGAGGGTTTACCACTAACAGACACAAACTACGCACAGTCAGTCAAGATACTAGAAGAAAGATTTGGTCAACCACATAAAATCACAAACGCACACATGCAAGCATTGTTAGACCTCCCTAATCCACCTGAGTCCGTAACTAGTTTACGTGGGTTTCACGACCGCATGGAAAATCACGTCCGAAGCCTTGAAGCTTTGGGGAAAACACAAGACTCCTACGGTGATCTCCTAGTGCCCGTTATCTTGAGCAAGCTTCCGACCACTGTAAAACACAATCTTATTCGAGAACATGGAACCACGGACTTGAGTTTAGAACAATTGCGCAAAGATATTTCGAAGGAAATCCTTATACTCGAGGCAGGTGAAGAGACAAATAAACTTAACAATTTAAGTCAGTCACCTGATACCCTCCCTTCCATCTCCAGTTTATTAACGAACACTAGCAGATACAAAAACCTTGGGGGAAATTTCAGTAACTCAAAGTTTAAAACACCACCTAACCCCTCCAAACCGAAGGCGTGTACTTTCTGTAATGGATCTCACAAACCGAACGACTGTACGGTAGTAAGTGATCCTGCTGCACGAAAACAAATTGCGTTTCAGGCGAACTTGTGTTTCAACTGCCTTAATAACCATCGCGTGTCACAGTGCAAATCCAAAAACCGCTGCAGACAATGTCACCAGAAACACCATACAAGCCTTTGTGTAGGGAATAAAGAGCGCCCAGAACAACAAAAACCTGATCCAAACGCGCGTCAAAACATCAAAGACAAGGACAGAAACGTGCAATGTATGTGTACCAACGGCGGCGACGTAGCTCAAACAACCAACACAAGCGAACAAACATCTGGTAACAACACCTCATCAGCATCCGTTACGAACCTTCATACCAACCTATCCGACAACAAGTACTCCCACCGATGTACCTTACTGAAAACAGCAATAGCCACCGTACAATCCCGAAACAGAGCCGCAACCGCACACATCCTGTTCGATGAAGGTGCCCAACGTTCTTTCATAACCGAAGAATTAGCAAACAGTCTCAACCTCGTGCCAGAAAGGACAGAACTTTTACACCTATCAGTCTTCGGTGGCGCCCAGACATCAGTGAAAAGAGTCGATATCGCAACCGTACATCTACAAACAGACACTGGTGGAATTATCCCAATCCAAGTAGTAATCATCCCAGTGATTGCTATACCACAAAAGAACCATATGACCACTGACATATAAAATCTACCTTACCTCAAGAACCTCAAGCTAGCTCATCCCGTCACCAGCGATGACCAATTCGAGATCTCTCTCCTCATTGGTGCAGACCACTATTGGGACGTGGTAGAAGACAAGATTGTTCGGGGATCTGGACCTACTGCCGCCAAATCAAAGATTGGCTACCTACTGTCTGGACCAACTGCCATTCCCTACCCACCATCAGAACTCACCGCTACAGTCCTCAAGGCCATCGTTGCGACAGAACGGGAAGAAGAAATGTTAGAACGGTTCTGGAACTTGGAATCCATAGGCATTTTACCTGATGAAACCGAGAAAAAAGAAAGAGAGTTCGTTGAAGACTACCAAAATTCCTAAATTCACCTTGAAAATGGACACTATAAGGCTAAGTTGCCTTCGAAACCTAATCACCCACCACTCCCTACAAATGAAGCAATAGCAAAAGGACGAACCCGCTCCACAGTACGACGGCTTGCCACAGACCCCGAAAAGCTGAAAGCATACAACCAAATCATCACTGAACAACAACAACGTGGATTTATCGAGAAAATCCCCGATTCCGAAAAGTTCCGAAGCAGATGTCACTACCTTCCACACCATGCTATCTTGAAAGACTCCTCCACCACTCCACTCCGTGTCGTCTTTGACTGCAGCTGCAAGACAAACGATAGTCAACCAAGCTTGAATGATTGTTTAGCTACTGGTCGTCCACTCTTAAACGACCTCACCGCGATCCTCATTCGATTCCGCTGCTATCGGTATGCCTTGACTGCTGATATCGAGAAGGCATTTCTCCACATAATTCTGGACGAGGAAGATCGGGATGCCACACGATTTTTCTGGATATCGGACCCAAAGGACCCGGAAAGTCCATTTGACGTCTATCGTTTTAAGTCCATCCTATTTGGTGCTTCGTGTTCACCGTTTATCCTAAATGCGACCCTCAAGAAACATCTCGACAGTATTCACAACCCAGTCGCTGAGAAAATGAAGACCGATATTTATAATGATTTATATTGACAACGCAGTGAAACCATTGGAAACAAAAACACGCTCGAAGGCGTTCAGAAGTCGACATCATTGTCGAACGATGACAAAGACAAAGACAAAAACAAGGCAGAAAACCAAACTGTAGCGGTCAACTTCCCGACCGAAGTGCCCTAGCTGAAAATGATCTGAAATTTACTAATTCTGTATGTTGTTGTCGTGAAGTCGTGTCACAACTCAAGCGTATCGAAGGTGATATACAGCAACTTAAAAACCGAACTGATTCTTATAAAGGAAAAGAAAATTCACGGCCATGTAAATTTAACACATGTGAAAGCGAAAAGGCTAATCTGAGAAATAACTTGGAAGAAGCAAACAACATAATAAAAGATCTGAGAGCGAAAGTTGAATATTTAGAGCACGAGAAGGTCAATCTCGCTACGGCCTTGGCTCTTCAACAAAGGACTATCAAGCTTGTTTGAATAACTTAAACCAACCGAATAACATCACAGCTGAAATGTCTAATAATTTCGAAACCGTGCAGAAAACTAAAAGCAGCGATCGAAAGCAGCAAGCAGATATAATTCCATCAAGTTCCCACATGCTCAATATAGAAAACCGGTTTCAAACCCTGAGCGATACCTTGGATAATGAGTCACAAACAGAGTCTACTGTTCCGCACAATCTTTCCAAGCGTTATGAAACAAAGCCTGTAAACAACCAAGAAGAATCTACGGGTGAGCATCAAAACAAGCAACAAAATCTTAAAACGCGTGAAATCGATTCGGATATCATTGTTATTGGCGACTCAATAATTAAAAATATTCAACCAAGGAAGCTCAGTAGGAAGAAGGTACATAAGTACACATTCCCAGGAAAAACCGCCGAAGAAATCGAAAAGGAGATCAATTTCGATAGTCTAAAAGCAATCCCATCTCACGTAATTGTACATGCTGGAACAAACAACCTGCCTCTAGAATCTGCTTCTGAATGTGCTCAGAAAATTGAGAAGCTTGCTGCGAAAGTAAAGTCACAATTTCCCTACTCGAAAATTGGTCTATCAGGCCTAACGGCGCGGCGAGATGTTGCTATGTCTGAAAAGATTGATGAGGTTAATAAGGAGCTTCAGCATATTTATATGCAACTGCATGTCTCGTTTATTGACAATACGACTATAGATGACACATGCCTAAATGGCAGTAAGCTTCATCTAAATGCGAAGGGCTCGGCTATTCTAGCAGTCCATTTTATCAAATTTCTCAAGGGGGGCAGTGCATCAACCTCTCCAAGTAAACGAAGGCAAAACTACGAGGATTTTCAGCGATCGGCAATTCTGAAACTTGGAGAACTGTTAAAGATAATTGTCCCTCCAGACAAGGGCACCCGCACCCGCAGAAGGAAATAATATCGGACTCATTGAACTGTGATATCTTGAAATCTCCTTGTGAGTCTCATACTCGCAAGCTACAGTTCCTTTCATCACTTTATCAGTTCGATCAGCTTATTGATGAACCCACAAGGATTACTGGAACATCAGCAACTCTAATTGATCTAATTCTGACAAATAAAGAGGAAAATATTTCAAAGTCTGTTGTCATACACCTTGGACTTTCTGATCACAGTATGATTTTCGCTATTAGAAAACATTGTATTCCCAAATCACGGGAAAAGGTTAAACATATTCGTAACTTTAAAAATTTCAATGCCAATTATTTTCTTACGGATCTTTCACACATGCCGTGGGAGAACATTGCCCAACATAACAATTCTAATGTATGCTGGCAGGTATGGAAATCACTATACCTCCAGGTCCTTGATCGACACGCTCCCCTTAGACGTATGAGAACTCGTGGAAATTCTCTCCCTTGGATTTCTTCAGACATCAAGGGTATAATGAGATCAAGAGACTTCCACAAAATAAAAGCGGTTAGATATAATTCTCAAAGTCATTGGACACAATATAAGGAATTACGAAACAAAGTTAATGCTGAACTAATTAAAGCTAAAAGAAACTATTTCTGCAATAAAATAGAAGATTGTGCTCAGTCCAAAGACATAAAGCAAAGTTGGAATTTAATTAACCACCTCATGGGTAAAAATGTGAAATCAAACACGATATCCCAACTTAAAACGGATAATTCTGTCATTTCATACGATAAATTGAAATCTGAGGCTTTTAATGATTTCTTTATCAATATCGGGACAAAACTTGCAGCTGAAATTGAAGATAATTCCCTCAACACAAACTCTTTTGCTCGCGGAGATTCTAGGCCTACTACCGACTCCAATCTTTTTTTCAAATTTTCTGAAATTAACGAGGACGAAGTAATATATCAATTGCGTAGTCTCAAAATTTCAAAATCCACAGGATTAGATAACATCCCTGCTAAAGCTCTTAAAATATCCGCGGACATTGTTGGTCCGCCATTAACTTGGATATTTAACCTTTCGATCAAAAAAGGAGAATATGTGGATGAATGGAAAAAAGCCTGGGTTACACCCATTTATAAATCTGATGACAGGTTGAAATGCGAGAATTATCGCCCTATCTCGATACTACCTATTGTTAGTAAAATACTTGAGAGATGCGTTTTTAATCAAATTTATAAATTTCTTAATGACAATTCACTTCTTTCAAAACATCAACATGGTTTTCGGCCTAAACATTCAACTCTCACCGCTCTAACTCAGGTGTGCGATACTCTTTATGAAAATATGGATAATGGTCAATTGAGCGGCATTGTTTTTCTTGACATTCGTAAAGCCTTCGACTCAATTGATCATAATATTCTGCTTCATAAATTAAAAGATCAATTCGGTATATCGGATATTGAGTTAAGATGGTTTGAGTCTTACTTAAATAATAGGGAGCAAGTTTGTATTGTTAATAATTCAATGTTATCGTCGAAACGGATTGTTTCTGGGGTTCCGCAGGGATCTATTTTAGGTCCACTGTTATTTTTACTCTATATCAATGACCTCCCCGAATGCCTTCAAAAAACTACTCCTTATTTATATGCTGACGATACCCAAATTTGCTGCAGCTCTAACGGTTTGATTGAACTAACCGAAAACCTTAATCACGATCTGAGTAGAATCGGTGATTGGCTTTCTAGAAATAAATTACAACACCACCCAACTAAGACCAAAATAATGTTCATTGGCTCTAAACATCATATTAATTCCACAACTTTTGATCATCCAGTGATGTTAAATAACCAACGCATCCCCAGAGTTCACTCTTTCACATGTCTTGGTCTCGATTTAGATGAAAACCTTAACTGGAATTCACATATTCAGGCGATTTGCAAAAAGGTTGGAGCAGGCCTGGGTACTTTGAGACGTATTAAACCCTTTGTTCCAATAACCACCCTTCAAACAATTTATCGAGCTCTGATTCAGCCGTATTTTGATTATTGTTCTCCCATTTGGGGCGTCTGTGATCAAAATTTGAAAAATAAACTCCAAAAATTTCAAAATCGCGCAGCCCGAATCATTGTCGGTGCAAGTTATGAGATTAGATCTGCTGATGTTCTTCAATCTCTTGCTTGGGACAATTTAGAGACAAGACGACGTACAACCAAAGCAATATTAATGTTTAAAGTCTTGAAGGATTACGTAGGACCTACGTTGAAAGAATCCTTGATAAGACGCAATCATATGCAAACAAATTATGATCTTAGAAATAGTCATACAGATTTGGCTCTTCCTAAGCCTAAAAGAGAATTCCTAAAAAAGAGTTTTAAATACAGTGGGGCTAAGCTATGGAATAGTCTCTCTATCGATACGAAACTGGCAGAATCAATGCACCTGTTCAAAAGCCATTTAAAACTTAACTCTAATACTATATATATTTGAAATAAATTGTAACTCCGTCTAACCATAACATCTGGGGTCACACCAATTTGTAAATAGTCTTCTTTTCCCTTATATCTTTTGTAATTTTTAACATTGTAGACGCCCCCCGTGGAAACCAACGCACCGTTGATGGGGCTAGTGTCTTTAAATAAAGTTTTAATACAATACAATACAATACAATACAATTGATAACCTCGCCACTGGCTCTGACAGTGAGGATGAAGCATCTACGTTTCTTGAAAGATCAAGGCTCATAATGTCACCTGTGGGCTTTAATCTAAGAGCGTGGAATTCTAACAACCCCACGGTTCGTGCATCAGCCGCAGACCAAGGCCTTCAAGACAAAGATCCAGAAACAAAGGTACTCGGGCTTCGATGGAATCCTAACACTGATACACTCCAGTTTCAGCAACGGCAACTACCTAACGACGCCAACAATAGCATCACAAAAAGAGAAGTTCTCCGCGAATCCTCCAAGATTTACGACCCACTTGGCATCCTAACTCCAGTAACCATTCGAGCCAAGATACTTATACAAGAACTGTGGAAAGAAGGGTACAGTTGGGACGAATCTTTACCACAAGAGCTCCACGAAAAATGGTTGGCACTCTCTAAGGATTTGCAAACTGCCACACAAACCGAAATTCCTCGCCGTTACTTCCCCTCTTCATCAACATGGCCACCTAGCACTTCCTTCCACGTATTTGTCGACGCCAGTGTTAAAGCATATGGAGCAGCTGCTTATATCACTTGTGGTTCCGAAACATCATTGGTTATGGCCAAATCCCGAGTTGCGCCTCTCAAGAAACTTACCTTACCACAGCTCGAGTTAATGGCAGCTGTACTTGGTGCAAGACTGTCTTCATACCTCCAAGCCCATTTACAAGCGCCCGACGTTTACCTCTGGTCGGATAGTCAAATAGTCCTCCACTGGTTGTCCTCTAAGCAAGAATTAAAGCGATTCGTCCACAACCGCGTCACCGAAATCCAGTCGTTCACAGAAACTGCCTCATGGAACTATTGTCCAACTGGGGATAATCCCGCTGACCTTCTAACCAGAGGAATGCAGACTGGTGAACTATCCACATCCACTCTCTGGTCTCGTGGTCCTTCGTGGCTAAATACAAAGAAGAACTGGCCCAGCTGGAATTCCAAATCTGTTCTCCTCCAGTGCACTGCAGCAGAACAACTCGAAGCCATCTCCACCATTACTAGTGAACCAACAAACAACCCAACTAACGTACCTGAACCTAAACATGGAATTGCCAAAATTATCAATCTGTCTGCTTATAGTAACCTCCATAAGCTAGTACGAGTCACAGCGTGGGTTCTACGCTTCGTCGATAACCTGAAGAAGAGAACTCATTCTGGTCCATTATCTGTCACTGAACTAGATTCTGCTCTAATGTTTTGGATTGTTGATTGTCAATCTGTTGTGTATTCAAACGAACTTGTCAACCTACAGTCGAAGACATCTAACCGATTATCATTGGTCAGACAACTTCGCCTATTTCTCGCCGAAGGCATCATCTGCTGTGGTGGAAGAATACATAATGCGCCTCTTCAAGAATCTGCTAAGCTCCCCATTCTCCTCCCACGAAACCATCACCTTACACAGTTGATTGTGGAGGATGCACACAGAGCAACCCTTCACTCTGGACAAAACTCTACCCTTACCCACCTCCGTCAAAGATATTGGATACCTGCTGCCATACAATACATTAAGAAGATCATCCGTCGTTGTGTAACGTGCCTCAAAACTACAGGCAAACCATACACGATACCAGACCCACCACCACTTCCAACAACTCGAACAAATGATTCACCCCCATTCACCATTACTGGGGTCGATTTTACAGGCGAAATCTACGTGAAATCAACCAACGGTCGATCGAAGGTGTATATCTGCCTGTTCACTTGTGCAAGTACTCGTGCCGTTCACCTTGAAGTCGTGACCGAACTAACAGTTCCGACCTTTATTGAAGCTTTCCGTCGATTTGCAAGCCGCAAGTCACTGCCAAAAGTCTTAATATCTGACAACGCCTCCACCTACCAGTCCGCTGCAGAAGAGTTGTTGAAGCTCCTGAAATCCCCACTCCTCGAGACACATCTTAGCAATCGTGCCGTACAATGGAGATTCATCCCCAAACGTGCTCCATGGTACGGTGGATTTTGGGAACGACTCATCGGTCTGACGAAGATTACCCTTAAAAGAGTCTTGGGAAGAGCCTCTGTTCAGCTGTCCGAACTTCAAACGATTGTTGTGGAAATTGAAGCAATACTAAACGACCGTCCACTTACATTCGTATCCTCCAACATCGAAGACGAACAACCCCTGACACCTTTCCATCTACTCTATGGTCGCAGAATAACGGCATTACCCCACCCACTGATAGAAGAGGAGGAATGGTCTGATTCCACCTTCAACGAAGACCCCACACTTGTACAACACCTTGCGAATATTAGAGCTAACCTCATTCATCATTTCTGGAATCGTTGGCGACACGAGTATTTAACGTCCCTTCGAGAATTTCATAAGGCAAGTGGAAAAAACGAGATTACCACAAAAATTGGTGACGTTGTACAAGTCCATGATGATACGAAACGTATCAACTGGAGATTAGCTGTGGTTGAAAGTCTCATCACTGGCAACGATGGATTGGTTCGAGCAGCCAACATCAGAACCAGTACCGGCCGTATTAACCGTCCAATTGCCATCTGTATCCATTAGAGGTTAGAGCTACAACCTCCTTTGGTATTTGTCCCACAACTGACGAACCAAGTGACGAGAAAGATCAACCATCCGAGAACCCGCCACAGAGAGAGAAACGATCAGCAGCAGTAGCAGCAAAGAAGAAAATTAAAGGCTGGACATCCTCATTGTTGTGCCCCCCGGAGGATGTCGTGAAATAGCGACAGACGCTAAAACACTAATGACTTTAATATAATCATATAGATATTGAATTACGCGCTTGTCTTTGGATAACACAGATCTAGAACATGTCAATGTACAAATATTAGTAATCACTCATACTCGAACTTGATTGGTTAGAATAATTTGCTTAGGGGTAAAATTACATTCGTGCTTTGGACTACAGCAATACAGATCTTTTTCAATACCTATCAGAATCACTGACACTACTGGAAAGTCTTTTTCCAGGCTGTGGCTAATGACTTTAATATAATCATATAGATATTGAATTACGCGCTTGTCTTTGGATAACACAGATCAAGAACATGTCAATGTACAAATATTAGTAATCACTCATACTCGAACTTGATTGGTTAGAATAATTTGCTTAGGGGTAAAATTACATTCGTGCTTTGGACTACAGCAATACAGATCTTTTTCAATACCTATCAGAATCACTGACACTACTGGAAAGTCTTTTTCCAGGCTGTGGAATTATTATTGCTGGTGATTTTAACCACTTTGACACTAAAGATCTTTGCCGAGATTTTCAGTTAAAACAATTGGTTGATAAACCAACTCGTGGTGCCAAGATTTTGGATCTTATACTTACAAACATGCATAAATTTTACGATGTACAACCAGCCATGGTTTTCCCTCCTTTCGGATTATCAGACCATAATGTGATAATGGTTCAGCCCAAAGTTAAAACATCATCAGAAACCCCAAGTAGAAAGACAGTAATAAAAAGAGACATTCGTCAATCACGCAAAAAAGAACTTGGTCGATATCTGAGTAACTTTGACTGGCAACTTATCGATTCCTCCGAACCGTGCGATAAAAATTGTGATATCTTATGCTGCGCAATAATGACGGGTTATGACATCCTTATGCCTGAGAAACACGTTAAATTCCATCGCAACGACAACCCATGGATAACCGAAAAATTGAAACAGCTGATCAAGTTTCGACAACGTGCGTTTTCATCTAATAACACAACTCTTTTCAAATTCTACCGAAATAAAGTGAATAGAATGAGAAAATCTTGCCGGGCAGACTATTTTGCTTCAAAAGTTGCTAATCTGAAAAAGTCTAACCCCAAATCTTGGTGGACAGAGGTTAAACGTATCTCCGGTATGAGACCTGTATCTGGCAGTTTGCTTAACCAACTTCATGTCGAAGATACAGAACATTTAACACACAAAGGTTTTGCAGATTTAATTAACAAAAGCCTAATAGAACCAATGAATACTTATGATCCCTTAAATGTCACAGATTTTAACACCTTGTTTGAGGAGATTCCTGATTATCCGTTAGATGTAAACATGAATTTGACAAATACTGCATCGGTCTTGAAAAAACTGAAAAGCTTGAACCCGCATAAAGCTCCGGGCCCTGATGATATCCCCAATTGGATTCTTCGTGATTATGCCGAAATCCTTGCTCCCTCTGTATCGGACTTATTGAATTCGTCCTACAAGCAAAAAAGACTGCCCTCATGCTGGAAACAAGCTAACATTACACCTATTCCGAAAGAGAAACCTGTTAAAGACATAAGCAAACAGCTCCGACCTATTTCGTTAACTCCGGTTCTGTCTAAACTTGCAGAAGAGTTTGTTGTTGAAAACTATATCGCTCCAGCAGTGTTGTCGTCAATTGATCCTTTTCAATTTGGTGGCATCCCTCGATCATCTGCTACAAAAGCCTTAATTTCTATGGTTCATGCGTGGACTCAAGCCACAGATGGAACTGGAAACGCTGTAAGAGTGGTTCTTTTTGATTATAAAAAGGCCTTCGACTTGATTGATCATAAGATCTTAGCCACGAAAATCATCCAATTGCCAATGCCAAATTTCATTAAGCGGTGGGTAATTGACTTTCTGATGAACAGGCAACAACGGGTGAAACTTGCAAGAGACTGTATGTCTGAATGGATTGACATTCCTTCCGGTGTCCCTCAAGGAACCAAATTGGGACCTTGGTTATTCATCCTAATGATAAATGACCTACGCCCCCCACATCATGAGCGATGGAAATACATCGATGATGCTACGGTATCTGAAATCATTTACATCAACACACCCAGTAAAATTCAAGATACAGTCGATTGTGTTCAAAATTGGTCTGTAGAAAACAAGATGCAATTAAATGCCTCCAAGTGCAAGGAACTTGTTATCAGTTTTACAAAACCTGAGAAAGAATTTCCGCGCCTTAAGATCATCTCAGGCCAAATCGAGACAGTGAACCACGCAAGAATCCTAGGTTTGACAATTTCTAAAGATCTAAAATGGAACCAACACATAACTAACATAGTTAAGAAGGCGAACAAACGGATTTATTTTATTATTCAGTTGAAACGTGCTCATGTACCTGAAGCTGACATAATAAATTTTTACACTACCTGCGTCAGACCAGTCATGGAATTCAGCTGTCAAGTTTTCCACTTCGCCCTTCCTTCCTACTTATCTAATGCCCTGGAACGGGTTCAAAAGCGTGTTTTATCAATCATCTATCCACTGACAGGTTATGCGGATTGTTTACAAAAATCGGGCATCAAACCATTAAGTGACAGGCGTGTGGATGCATGCGAGAAACTGTTTAATGAAATCACCACAACACCAGTAGCTAATATGCATAATCATGTACCATCTAGATACTTTCCAAATTACGACCTTAGACACTCAAGGTCTTTTGTTGTTCCTCAGACCAAAACGAACAGATTTAGAAACAGTTTTTTCCCTTCATCTGCAAGGCATATCAATAATATTAACTGACAATCGATTCTGATATTCAGTTTTAGACTGGCTAACATTTTTTTAGAAATTTACTAGTTTCATAGTTAATTTGTAATGTAACTTTAAACTTCTGTAATATAGAATTATAAATTGTAATGTAATTTTAAACTTCTGTAAATATAGAATAACTAATTTTAATAATTTCTCTTGTAAAATTTGGCACGCAATTCAGCCTTATTGGCTGCTATGTGTTAATCTTATTAAACAAACAATCTATCTATCTAACATTATTATTATATTTTTATGTTTGTATATAGTCTTGAACTGGCTCGCGTTATGGGAGTTACAAATTGTAATTAAGTAAATATATCATTGAAACTATTGCGTGAATCGTCCGTTATTATTCAAAACTTATTCATTGAAAGAACCTCCGTTTACGGTTCTCGATTGTCGTTGAGACGCCAATACACAACGCAAGTTAATAATACGCACAAACGAGAGACGATCGAGACAGTACGAAAACTCAGCTTTTTTGCAGAGTTAGGCATATCATTAATATAAAGTAAGAAGAGTAATGGGCCAAGTGTAGAACCTTGTGGTACCCCACAGGTCATTTCAAGTAGTTCAGATTCAGTACAGCCTATTTTCACATACTGTTTCCTATTACTTAAGTACACTGTAAATTACAAGGAGTTGAATCAAGTCCAAAAGAGTTATTCTGTCACGAAAAACGGTGACAGAATGTCACTTTTAGAGTTGATTCAACTCCTTAAAATTTACAGTGTAATTCTTAAACCATGTTAAAGGCTCCCCTCGAATACCATACTTGTCCATTTTTGCCAAAAGTATCTCGTGATTTACGGTATCGAATGCTTTAGACAAGTCAAGAAATAAGCCGCATACTATTTGATTATTATCTAAATAATTTCTTAGGTTATCTGTTATTTCAAGAATCGCTTGTTCTGTAGAATAACATTTTGTAAATCCAAATTGGTACTCATACAAAATTTTATATTTTTCAATAAAAGATATTAATTGTTCATACATAAGCTTTTCTAATACTTTGCTGAAGGGTGATAAAATAGATATAGGTCTATAATTAAACGGATCCGTGCATGTACCATTTTTATAAATAGGAGTAATTCTCGATATTTTTAGAACGTCTGGTACAATACCTGTTTCAAATGATTTATTATAGATATAAGTGAAAGGTATTGAGAGTTGTTTCGCAACAATTTTTATTAATGTATTGGGAATATTAATGCTAGCCTTGTTTGTATTTAAATTAGAAAATAATTCAGATATTTTTGAAGCTCGTACAGGGGATAATACAAAACTAGAGCTCGGACAGTTTCGAATATATTTTATTGGGGATTCATTAATTTTTTCAATTTTACTAGCCAAATGTGGGCCAACATTTGCAAAGTGTTGGTTAAATTGATTTGCTATATCAATTTCCTCTGTATATACTTTATTATTTATAACTAATTTAGATGGATATGGTTGGCTTTTAGTTTTCCTTTTTATTAATATTCCTATTAATTTCCATGTTGTTTTTAAGTTATTTTTACATTTATTAAAATTATTCAGATAATATTGCCTTTTACTAAGCATTGTTATATAGTTTAATTTATTAGCATAAAGCTTATATTGACTTACTTTGCTAATATTATTAGAATGGAAATGAGTATAGAACATTTTTTGCTTTATTTTTATTGATTTTAGAATTCCCTTAGTTATCCAGGGTTTGCCAAGTTGTTTCCTTAAACTTTGGGAAGCTACTTTACATGGAGCATGTTTATTTACAATTTGATTAATCGTATTTATAACACTATTTGTTATTTCGTTTAAGCATTTATCCTCATCTATTAAACCATTCCAGTCAACACTATTAATATCCTCAATATATAGCTCATTGTTAAAAGTACTATAATCTCTATATAATTTTTTAGCTTTAACCCTTTTTATTCCTGTACTTACAATAGTAGGTTACCCCCCCCCCCATATAGCGACGGAAGTGATTCAAGCGAATGACGTCATCAGGGGGTGTACGTCCGGGCGTACGTACTTAGCGTACGTCCAAGCGTTCGTACTTAGTGTACGTCCAGTTTTAGTAAACATTACGTAATTGTATTGCACATGTCCTGACCAAGTATGAGTTCTTCAAGGTCGAATAATGTTGACGAAGTTTCGCCTATGGAATTTCGGAAGCTATGCAATTTGTTAGAGACAATATTTGCACAAACTGTTTCTTGCGAGGTTTATGAGCTTTTCGAAGAGAGGTGTTGTGGTTGTAAACTAAATCGCTTTAGTCAGAGTGAGTGTCTTATGTTATCGTATGAGGAGAGATCGCAGATGTATGATTTGGAAGCCATAGAGCGAGTTAGCAAAAAAGACGTGGTATGGAATAAGTTTGTTGAGGTGACCAAAGTTTTAGAGCTTCAGTGGGATGAAAACGTGTTTGAATATTGGAATCAATTGAGGAGAGACCCCATGTATGTTAAATCAATGATGAGTTTGGAGAACAGTGAGATGCTGAGTATTCTAGACCAACTTTCTAACTGCAAAGAGGATTGTTGTGATGACCCACTTGAACCTGGGGCTATGGTCTTTTTCTCAATGCCCCCTAGTTTTAAGTATACTGTGAAAGCGACAGGCGAGCAATTTAGAAGTCATGAAGAAGATCATCATAAAGCATATGTGGAATATTTGAGAAGTAAACTTTGAGATTCAGTGTAAATATGTTAATAATCGAGTTTCGTTTTTATTCTTTTTATAAATTTGGTGGTTCTTAAAAGAACCGGTGTTTTGGGTTTGTCTTTACTGTTGCAGCCACATCGCAAAAGCCTCTACTTCCACTTTTGCGCAGTGTTGGTAAGCGTTGCTTTCCAGGTGATTCCCGCAGGTTTCTAACCAGATCAATTGATCAAATAGTTTTTCAGCTTTGGGACAATTAAAGCATTCCAAATTTACGGCCGGAATACGGAGACTCGCCAGCAAATCCCTTTCGTAATGTCCGCCTTTGAAGGCAATTGAAGAGTTTGAATCTATCTGTATTTCACGGTAGAAATTCTCTACAATTGCCTGCAAGTCCGAAATTTGAAATGCTTTAGTGCCCCGTGGCACTCCAAACGGGAGTCTATGTATATTCTTCTGGACGAAGTTACACGTTCTCTTGTCTTTGTCGTTGAGCTCGTTCCAGTGTAAGCCAATATCGAAAAAGAACGACGAGGCTTCAGAGTCTCCGACCTTTATGACTCCCAACTCCTTACAGAAAAATTTCTTTCCAATTTGAAATCCGTCCATGTCAAGGATCCCGACGATGTCTGCTTTACACTGCATGTTGACTGATTGATTGTGATGTGAGTTATTCGGCCGCTTTTTATTTGAATGTCAATAACAACGTACGAACAGTTTTGTACGAACAGAGCCGTACGTACGCTTTGTAGTGCGTGCGCTTTATTGCACGAATAATTAGTACTTAGGACACTGTGCGTGAGAAACTTTTATGTATAAACGTTGAATATATTGTGTATAACGTTATACATTGTTTATTGATGTAAGGTTGTTACTTTAAGAAATAAATTGTTTAAAGCATAATTTTGTGTATTAGTTTATGCGTGAATTAGATTGTTTATTGTGATTTATTCGGCCGCTTTTTACTTGAATGTCAATAACAACGAACAAACAGTTTTGTACGCCGAACAATTGAGTGCGAACAGAGCCGTACGTACGCTTTGTAGTGCGTACGCTTTATTGCACGAATAATTAGTACTTAGGACATTGTGCGTGAGACACTTTTATGTGTAAACGTTTAATATATTGTGTATAGTGTTATACATTGTTTATTGATGTAAGGTTGTTACTTTAAGAAATAAATTAAAGCATAATTTTGTGTATTAGTTTATGCCTGAATTAGATAGTTTAAAACATTAATTTGTGTTCTTGCGTGCGATATAACTGTCGCGTTGGTACAAAGGTTAATCCATGTGTTAATTGATGCGTGTAGTCAACCAGGACGCTGTAGCTTTGGCAATAATATTTTGCTCTTAAAATCAGTAGGAAAACGTGTTACTCCTTTATCTCCGTTTTGAGCACGCAGCGAAACATTTTTGAAACTTAGGAAACGGATCAAGCACCGACTCTTCATGAACTTGGGGAGTTCAGGCTTTTGCTTTGAGGCTATATAAATTTTGTTTAAAGCATAACTTTCTGTGTTAGTTTATGTGTGAATTTTAGGATGTTTAAAACACTGTGTGTTAGTGTATGCGTGTGTCTTAGCGATGTAAATCCAGAGGGAGCGTGCATGTATACAAGATGTGAATGCATGAACATCGAGTTTCGTACAATATTCTTTTTGTAAAAGTAGTGGCTCTTAAAAGAGCCGATGTTTTTACTTCTTCTTTTTACCATTCAAACCCTGTGAAGTCAACATCTAGAAGATCATCAATATCTACCACTGCCCAGCTGCTCGTCTCCGGTTGTTTCTCTTCGACCACTGACTCTATGGCTGTTTCCTCTTGCTCACGACGCTGCCGTTTTGCTTTGAATTCTTGCACTAGTGGCATGTTATTTTGAGTGGCATACTCATAGAATTCCTTATATCTTTCGAATTCACTTTTTCTTTTCCTACGATTCCTTCGTGAGCGCTCGGCTTCTTTTTGTTTCTTCTCCATGGCAAGTACTAGCCTTAATGCCCTGTTCGTTCTCTTTAATTGATTCAAGGCACTAATTGAGTTTTCTTCCTGTTTGTGCCCCCGCGCAGTGTGGCGTCGCACGGAAAGGTCGCACGCAAATTGAGGTCGTACGCGTACGAACATGATGTGTGCGTGATTCAACTCGCTTTACACTACGTTTAGGGGGGCCCGCTGTACACTAGGTTTATCGTCAATAAACATCAAGTATAAATCGGCTCGAAAAATATAGCTTGACGTACTCTTTACACTGCTTTCACAGAGAAAACATCACCAAGTATTTGATCTATTAGTATGAATGTGACTGAGAAAATTAGCGAAGCCCAAACCGTGGCTGAGCTCACGGCTTTGGAAAGTCTACATACTTTAAATGAATTTGAGCGGGACTTAGTATTCGAGAGAAAAATCGAAATTATTAGCCGTTTGCTAGAATGGGGAGCGGAAAACGAACGAGTTGGGCTTACTGCAAACCTTTCGGATTCTTGGACGCCGGAGCAGAGACAACAGTTTATGATGGATTGGCAAGACGACGAGCCTTTGCTGCAGAACGAGCGATTAGGACTCGCCTCGGGCTTGATGAATTCTTGGACAGTTGAACAACGAGAGAATTTTATGACGGATTGGCAGGACGATGAACCCTTATTACAAGTTGGTCGAGGACAGAAAAGATCCAACGATGAAGGGAATGACGGTGCAGGAACATCTGAACAGGTTAGCGATAACTTTTTTACCGTATCGAATGTTAAGCAAGTTAAAGTGAAAAAGTTCAGCACGACTGGTATGGATTATACAGTTCAAATTATGGACACGTTTGCTCATTTGGAACTTTCTCAATACCACGACCGTCTTCATGAAATATTTGAAAGTTTATTGAATACCGTCACGCAAGATATTCCTATGCAAGATCAAGTTCGTTTTGTGTTGCGATCGCCTCAACTAGAAACCCCTATTTCTCTTCCTTTCTTGCCTCGTCAACGTCTTACAACTGAGCGGATTTTAGCTGAAATTGAGCGTGTGATTCAATCTAATCATGAATTTCGTTTGAATGATAGTGTCAATGTCAATTTAATTCATGTTGAAATGCCCAATGGCGGTACGGGTACGAAGCGAAGTGAAATTAACTTGGAAAAGCACTTGATTAACAAAAGATCAATTATGCGCATTCAAAATAAGGACGACATTTGTTTAGCTAGGGCGTTAGTCGTCTCCATAGCCAAAATTGAAAACGATAGTCGGTATTATCATATAAAAGATTATCGGAAACCACTGCAAGCACGTTTAGCTCGAGATTTGCACCAAAAAGCCGGGGTTGAAATAGGTTCTTGCGGTTTAGATGAAGTCAAACTTTTTCAAACGTATTTATCGGATTATCAACTCAATATCGTTTCAAAAGAACATCAAAATTCTATAATTTTTTCCGGTCCCGAAAAAGACAAAATGATTTATTTGTTTTTGCATGACAATCACTATGATGTGATTACGAGTATGCCGGCCTTTTTTGTCAGAAAACGCTATTGTCACACCTGTAAGAAAGGATATGATAAAGTTATTGATCATTTATGTTCTGACTTTTGTAAATTGTGTCGTTTTCCAAATTGTCCAATTGTTTCGTGGATTGGCTGTGTTGATTGTAAGCGAAATTTTAAAAGTGAGGCTTGTTTGAATAGGCATAAGGAAACCATTGGAAACGCTAAGTCTGTTTGTGCTTCATTAGTTAAATGTTCAAAGTGTCAAAAGATTGTAAAACGGAATAGGATGAGGCCTGAATTGCATAACTGCGGACTTGTTTGTTGCGCTGTGTGTAGCAAGTACGTCCACGCCGAGAATCATCAGTGTTATATGCAACCTGTGAAAGAGAGAAACGCAACTGTCAGCGAGGACACTGACCTTCTCGACACCGAAGCCGATGAAAACGATTCCCCTAAAAGTGGTTATGACCAGTTACTGTTTTTTGATTTCGAGTGTCGCCAGGAGAACGGTAATCACGAACCCAATTTGTGCGTGATTCAAAACGAGGCCGGTGACGAGTGGGTGTTTGAAGGGGACAATACGCGCAATGACTTTTGTGAATGGTTGTTTACAAAGGAGCATGCAGGGTGTATCGTTTTGGCACACAACTTCCAAGGTTATGACAGCTATTTCATTCTCCAGTATTTACATCAGAACGGCGTAATTCCCGATGTGATTATGCGAGGTGCAAAGGTCCTTACGTTATCGGTGCCAATGTTTAACATTAAATTCATTGACTCGTTAAGCTTCATACCTATGAGACTGGCTGACTTCCCCACAACCTTTGGACTGGACGAACTTGCAAAAGGATACTTCCCTCATTTGTTCAACAGAAAGGAGAACGAGAATTATGTTGGACCCATACCCCCGAGTCCATTTTACAATCCTGGTAGCATGAGTCCTGAAGAGAAGGAAAAGTTCATGGCATGGCATAAGAAGTTGAAAGAGGAGAATTACGTGTTTGATTTCCAGCAAGAAATTCTAGGTTATTGTCGGTCTGATGTGGATATCCTTCGCCGCTGTTGCCTTGAATTTCGCGAAATGTTTCGTGATATTACAGGTATCGACCCGTTTGAGAAATGCTTAACTATTGCATCGGCCTGTAACCTTGTGTTCCGAACAAATTTCCTCCAAGAAAACACCATAGCCATCATTCCCCCTCACGGTTATCGTCCCAAAGACAAGCAATCCCTCTTGGCTTTGAAATGGCTTTCATATAAAGCTGAAAAAGAAGACATCCACATTCAGCATGCACGTAATGCAGGAGAGAAACGTGTTGGCAATTACCTACTGGATGGCTATCACGAAGAGTCCAACACGGCCTACGAAATCAATGGGTGCTTCTGGCACGGTAAGTTAACTTGAAAGAATGGGTTCCTCGTATAAACACTACAAGCAGAAATAGTATTGTTTATTTATTTATTTATTTATTTTTTTATTTTTTTTTTACAGGGTGTTTGAAATGCTATGCTCGCGACACAATAAATTCAGTCAATGGTAAAACGATGCAAGATCTTCATCAAACTACAGTGGAGAAGAACAGTTACCTGAAAGATCATGGTTTTGTGGTGATTGAAGTTTGGGAATGCGATATTAAGAAAGAACTGGAACAAGATCAAGATATGAAGGCTTACTTCGATAGCTACGATCTGGTCGAACCTTTGGAACCGCGTGATGGCTTCTTTGGTGGGCGTACCAACGCCGCAAAGCTGTTCCATGAGTGTAAAGATGGTGAGAAAATAAGGTAAAATGTAGCAAAAATGATAGGAACGATTATGACGTCAGAGCAAATATATTGATGACGTCATTTTTTTTCACTTAGGTATGTGGATTTTACGAGTCTTTACCCATGGTGCAACAAAATGACGCGGACAGTTGTTGGCCATCCCCGCATCATCACAGAAAATTTTGATGACATTTCGACCTATTTTGGCATGATCAAGTGTACCGTTCTACCCCCTCGTGGTCTTTTCCATCCAGTCTTACCTTATCGAACTCAGGGCAAGTTGATGTTCCCCCTCTGCAAGTTGTGTGCCGATACGTGTAATCAGACCTCATGTACCCATTCCGACAACGAAAGAGCCATTCAAGGAACGTGGTGTAGCGTAGAGTTGGAGAAAGCATTGGAGAAAGGCTACCAAGTCCTGCAACTCCACGAGGTATGGCATTTCCCTCAACAATCGGATGAATTGTTCAAAGACTACGTGAATACATTCCTTAAAATCAAACAAGAGGCCAGTGGTTACCCAAAGGACTGTACTACGGAAGAGAAGAAACAGCAGTACGTAGAAGAGTACTTGGAACGGGAAGGAATCCAGTTGGTTCCAGCCAAGATTGAGTATAATCCTGGGTTGCGTGCCTTGGCAAAGCTGATGCTGAACTCATTTTGGGGTAAGTTTTAACCACTCTACGATAACACTAGGCGCAACGTTTGCACATGGCACTTAATATCGTTCATATCTTTTTTAGGCAAATTTGCGCAACGACCGAACATGACCAAAGTGGAACTGATCAGTGACGTGCAAAAGTTTCTCGACTATCTGACGTCCGACGAAATCAACGTGCTCGACGCAAATTTCGTGAGTGAAGAAGTGATCGAGATCCACTACGAAAACAACGAAAATTTCATAGCGTCAAATTCCAAAACGAATGTGGTCATCGCTGCTTTTACCACCGCCTATGCCCGACTCAAATTGTACGATGTGCTGGATCAACTGAATGAAAGAGTGTTGTACTATGATACGGATTCGGTGATATTTGTCAGCAAACCAGGTGAATCAGAGCCCCCGTTGGGTCCTTATCTCGGTCAACTCACGGATGAATTAAAAGAAGGGCATATTACAACCTTCATATCGGGAGGACCTAAAAATTACTGTTATCGGACCAGTTGCAACAAAGTAGAAACAAAGATACGCGGAATCACATTGAACTGCACTGCAAAACAAAAAGTGAACTTTGACGTCATTCGCTCATTGGTGTTTCTCTATGCAAAATGTAATGTCAAGGGACAAGTAACCGTTGATATCCCGTTCAGGATAACTCGGGACACAAAGACAAAAAACATTGAAACAAAAAGAATGAAAAAGGACTACCGTATTGTATATAACAAACGTGTAATTATTGATGATTATAAAACATTACCCTATGGGTATTAACTTTGTAAATAACATAAACAGTTTGAAATAAATATTTTAACAAGGTCGTTTGATCTCAAAGTTAATTTCTGATGTTCAGTTTGTGATAGTGATCCAGATTCACCCCCGTTTCTTCTTCCAGTGTCGCGACTTGCTTTTCATTTTTTCTAGCCAAATCCCACATCAAAATTTCCTTAGCGTTCATATGATAGGTAAAGTTGTTCCCCTGAGGGGCCCGAGGTACTGTTACACCCGTTAATGTTTCCAATATGATTTGCGTCAACATGATTGAGTGCAATGTCGGATTGTCAATAAGCGTTGCGGGTATCGTATTCTTCTCTATCAAAAGCTTCATCAAATCCAAAGTTGCCAAATTTCCATCTTGCGTTAAGAATTTGTCCGAAAGCCAATGAGTTACGATGTCTCTCCAAGCCATGTTGCTTCTAACAAATGCTTGTTTGATCTGATCAAAAATTTTAAAAGGTACTGAGTTTTTATAGATCTGGTTCACATGACAATTTGCATAGTGTCGACGCTATACGTTTTTATAGGTTACAATAACTGAAAGATCTCGTGTTTCAACGCCCGTCTGTGTTCCACGCAAAAAACGGTTTTCCAATTGTCCGCATTATACTTGATCAATTCGTGCACTTTCATTTTGCTCAAACTTAATTCTAGTAAAAGCTTCAATGACTTTCGTTTCCGAAGCCTTTTCCAAAGCATAGTCAAAGTACAAACATAATAGTTCATCCCTTTCCATCGTAAGACATTGATGATGCGTTTGGGACAGATGCTCTGTCATGCATCCGTTACAATTTTCAACAACGAGCTGGGAGATGATAGGAGCTATTTCTTCAGCCGAAATTTTCAAAAGTTTCTTTACGACAAGTTTTTGGCGAAGATGGAGAACTAATTCCATATTATCAATGTCGATAGACTCAGCACGAAACATGTTTGATCTTCACTTGACTGTTGACTGTTTCTTTTAAGTGCAAAACGTTTAAAGTCGGACGTACCTATAAAAGTCTTTTCATAATAGACACACTGCCAGCAAAAATCCGAAGATTAACAAAGATCATAATAAACAGAAAATGTTTAGAATCGGTATAAGTGTTGGACGAAATGATCTCAATGTTGAGGGACATTTACAGGCGGGATACAGCAGTAAAACGATTAAAAACTACAAACCTGTTGAAAATACTTTAACAAGGGACAAACCCCTTGAAAATACGTTGCCAAAGGATGATAGCATTCAAAACGTTGAAGAATAAAGCAAATCCTTCATTTCACGTGTGAACATGGACGAATACCTATCTAGAGTCTATTACGATCCAAAACGTCCTGGAGGATTTGGCGGAGTGGATCGTTTGTATGATGACGTCAAAAAGGAAGGAAAGTTTGCGATAAGTCGTAAGAAAATTAATGAATGGCTGATGAAACAGGATGCGTATACGTTACATAAATCTATGCGTCGTCACTTCAGACGAAATCGCGTCATCGTAGGCGGTATCGATCAGCAATGGCAAATGGATCTGGCAGACATGCAGTCCATGCAAAAATTTAATGACGGTTACCGTTATCTGCTCGTGTGCATCGATGTCTTTTCCAAATATGCATGGGTAGTCCCGTTGAAAAACAAAACGGGTCCAACACTGGTCGAAGCTTTCAAAGTCATTTTGGCGTCTGGACGCAAACCCGAAAAGATCATGACCGATCAAGGAACAGAGTTTTTAAACAAACATTTTCGAGCGTTGATGAAAGAAGAAGACATCGAGCTGTACAATACGTACAACGAAACGAAAGCTTCTATCGTAGAACGTCTCATTCGTACTCTGAAGACTAAAATGTGGCGTTATTTTACGGCCAAGAAAACCATGAGATACGTGGACATGTTACCCGATTTGGTCTATTCCTACAATCATAGTGTTCACCGTAGCATAAAGACAAAACCCGCGGAAGTAACTACTGAAAACGAAAAGAAAGTGTGGCACACTCTGTATGATCATGACGCCGTGAGAAATGTAAAGTACAAGTTTAAAATTGGTGATCAAGTTACAATTAGCAAGATGAAACGAACGTTCGAAAAAGGGTACTTGCCCAATTTCTCAAAAGAGATCTTTATTATAAGCAAGCAAATACCTCGCGATCCTCCAGTGTACAAACTAAAGGATCTGGACGGTGAAGAACTCAAAGGAACGTTTTACGAACAAGAGCTGCAAAAGGTGATCAAAGAAGATGACGTATACGAAATTGAGAAAATCTTGAAGAAACGTGGACGTGGCAATAACGTACATTATCTTGTAAAATGGTTAGGGTACCCAAATAAATTTAATTCATGGGTATCTGCTTCTGAAATAAATACGATTTAAACCATTGAACGTGTTGTCTGTTTGTTATTTTCATTTGTAACTCGCAATGAGCGGAACACATTTTCACCTCACGCTTCCTAGCAATGCATCCTCAGATATCTTTCCCGATAACAAGACGACAAGTTATCGAATCAAATTACCTCAAGCTATTAATTTGAGTGGTGAATGGGAAGTGGGTTTGTATTCAATAAACTACCCTCGGACATGGTACACTCTCGGTAATTTTGATACCCACATTTATACCAGTGATCAGAGTGGTCTTTTCAGTACTACCATAATCGATTATGGCTTTTATGAAACAATGCCTGATCTGGTGAAATCTGTTAATAAAAATTTGGCAAAAGATGTGAGCGATAACATTAAGTTGACATTCAATGTTCGTACAGAAAAAGTTACGGTCCATTTAAAAAACAAGTATCAATTGGTTGTAACTAATAGAATGTCAATCGTGTTGGGGTTTGGTGGAAAAGAAACGAAAATAGTGAAAACGACAACAAGTCCTTATGCAGCTGACTTACATGGTTTCATGGCGATCTATGTATATTGCGATATTGTGCAACCTCAAATTGTCGGAAATACCAGTGCCAAATTACTCAGAAGCATTCCCGTCCAAGGAAAGTTGGGTGACGTCATTACTAAAACGTTCACAACCATACAATACGTTCCAGTCCAAACCAAATCTTTTGAAGATGTGGAAATAGTTTTAAGGAACGACACAGGCGATCCAGTGCCATTTGAACGTGGCAAGGTGGTGACGACACTACATTTCAGACAGCGTAGTTACTTCTCCTGAAAAGATGAATAATCCTTACGTACGCTATTATTTGGATCAACAGCAAGGGCACGGGATGCGCTTGAGTCAATTGAGCTTGAGTCAGTGAGGCAGGGCAGACGTGTCTTTTGTGCTCCGCCGATTGTTTGTAATTTTACTTTGAAATAAAATAGTTTTGAAGGCATGGATGGCACTAAATATACCGATTTCTTAATCTTGTGATGGAGAATCATATCGTTGGTTGGGGAGCTATACTGAGTTAAAGAATTATATTGCCGAAGACTTAAAAATGGCAGGAATATGGAAGTCACCGGGAGGAGGTGCTAAGCGTTTCATAGCTGGCCAAGATTCTGAATTTGTTCTTAAATGGCAAAAGTTAAAAAAGTTGGTAATCGAAAAGGACAACACAGATGAGTATTTATCAAAATATCTTAAAGCTAACGCATGTGTCACGTCGGTCGTAGCTATGAACGGCTGCGAGAATGAGTTTTTGTCGACCAGCAGCAATGGCGAAGGCGTCCATGCGGCTAATTTTACCTTGCCCACTGAAACTAATATAAATGATGACCCATCCTTAGTGCACTTAACGAAAGCCGTAGAAGCTGGATTTAGTCTAGCAGACACGAAAATTAGAAATATTGAAGAGAAACTCAATGTTAAAATAAGTGATGTTCTTGACGATCTGAACGAACTAAAGGCCCGGTCTGAGCCTGTCTCCGAGCGATTAGTCAATGCATTGCTTGAAGAGAATACTAAACTTAAGAAAGATAACGATGTGCTATCTGGGAGACTCAATAATTCGTTGCTTGTTGTATCGGATCTTAACACCCGTATTAAGGACATTGAAAACGAGAAATGTAGTTTGATTACAGCTATTAGACTTATTCAATGCGCAGACAAAAGTCATGTTGACTCAACGGTAACGGAGCAGTTGAAGTCTGATGACACTAACGTATTTAATCAACATGATTTATCTCATAATTTAAGTATGAATGATGTCGAAGAGTCGATTCGGGTAGTTGATAAAAACCCAGATTATTTTCTGTCAAGTAATAAAATCCCGGAGTCACAAAGTTTGAAGCGCAAGTATAAGTCGAAAAGCAAGAGAAAAGGTCTAAACCTTGATAAGAATTTGTCCGAAAATGCAAATTCCACAACTAGATCGGAAGTCTTACAACAAATTCCAGCAAACAATAATTCCACAGCAGAACCAGTCATGCAACAAATACCATCAAATGACAATACAATGACAGAACCAGTCATGCAACAAATTCCATCAAATGTCAATTCAATAACAGACCCTGTTGTTCAACAAATTCCATCAAATACCAGTGGCACCAATAACTTGCATACTGTGCCAGAAACGCATAACAAACATGCAAATTATTCTGTGAAAAATGTCACTGTTGTTGCAGGAGATTCAATTGTCCAGAACCTGCAAGGCTGGCGTCTTTCTAACACTGACAACCATGTTGTTGTCAAGAGCTTCTCTGGGGCAAATATAACAGACATGGAAGACTATTTGAAGCCCATCCTTCGTAAGGAGCCGAATAAAGTCATTCTACACGTAGGAACTAACGATTTAAAACATCTATCTGCTAAGAGAGTGGCTGAAGGGATTGCAAATCTCGCAACCCAAATCGAAGAAGATTCCCCAGCAACCAGCATTGTGATCTCTAGTATATTACCACGATCAGATAAATCTGAACTATCGGCAAAAGCAACAGAAGCTAACAAGCTTATTAAAGCAATATGCTCTAAAAATCAATGGGCATTTATTGATCATAAATCGGTTAATTTGTCTTGTCTAAACACAAGGGGATTGCACCTTAATCGTAAAGGAACTTCTATTGTAGCAAAGAACATTTCTAAGTACATTAATTCCTGTTAGGAAATTGCCGTAAGAGAGTCAGTTAATTCTTTATCCGCATCTCGTATTTCTAATACCGAAGCCCCATATACTAGATTATTCAGCCATGGTCTTGCAATTGCTTGTCTAAATATAAATAGTTTGTTAGCTCACATTGATGATTTAAGAATCTTTATGGACAATAGTAAAATCGATATATTATGTATAAATGAAACTAAGTTAGATTCGTCCATCGGCAACAGTGAAATCCATCTTTCAGGCTATGATGTTTTTAGGCTAGACCGTAAGGTTAATGGTAGAAATGGTGGTGGAGTTTGTATGTATATACGAAGTAATCTAAACTTTCGAATTCGTGAAGATCTGGCATGTAATGATCTTGAAATCCTAATAATCGAAATTTCTAATCCTCGTTCAAAGCCGTTTTTGGTGGGTACTTGGTATAGACCTCCAAGCTCGTCCCAACAATTGTTTACTTCATTCGAGGAGATTATCGATAAGATAGATGCTGAGAATTCCGAACTGTATTTACTTGGAGATTTGAATTGTAACCTATTGTCAAACACACCAAATTCCAACACGTCTGAGCTTTTGAATATATTTGATATTTACAATCTTTCACAGACAATTTCTGAACCTACAAGAATAACTAATACTTCACAAACATTAATCGATCTATGTATTACCAATAATCTTGATAAAGTAAAAGCTTCCGGTGTTCTTTCTCTTGGTATAAGTGATCATTCTCTGGTATACCTTATTCGGAAATGTACATATCATAAGGCACCGGTAAATACTTTTGTTGAAAAGAGAAATTTCAGAAACTTCAATGAACATGCATATTTGAATGATTTAAATAATCTAAATTGGGAGCAGGTTTGTCTGCATAACGACCCTAATGATATGTGGACTGAATGGTTGAATTTGTTTA